CAAAATAATGATCTTCTCTCCATTTCATAAAGAATGTGGAGGGAGAAGCCCAAAAAGTGCTACCTTTGCAACAATGAGAATGCTTATGGGCAAGGAAGGGTAGAGTCGGATCCAGAGGTTGCTTTAAACAAATAAAAGTTGGTTTGTTTGGGAAACAGGAGCACAAGAACATATCTAGACCGCAACCGTGGAAACTCTTTCAAAACATGACAAAATCTAAGAAAAACACAACAAAAACGCGTAAAAACCACACCCGCATAACGTCGAGCTCTCTAATTATTGGAGATAGCGGGGCCCTTTCCAACTGGAGGATTTGATCTCCCAGCACTCTCCGGTTTTTGTTGCTTTGCTTTTGATGATGCTCGTTTCTTTGTTTCCAAGTAATGCATCGCTAAAAAGAAGCCCAGCTTGCTTTGGCCCGCAGCCCGCGGCGAGCTTTTTTGCCTATTTCACCTGTCGGGGCGCCCGCCTCCCTGTCGGTTCGCGAGTTGAATGACCGCTAGGTGCTTGGATACCTATATGGTTCTGGAGGAGTTTGGAGTGCAACTCACCGCCGACGACTTCTACCAACGCGCGGCGCCCGGTCCGATCCGGATCCTGGAAAGGAGAGTTCTGGCATCAAATGTGGATCGAATGAGTCAAAATGTTCCAGTCTTTTTTCTTGTTTTGCACCGATCCCTATAGCTTCCATGAGAGGGTACCAAGTTTTGGTGAGGTGGTCTAGAATCTCCATCACTAGTCACTTATATAGTCACTGTTCATCACTATTCACTGGTGATTCCGTTTCCGGACCCAGCCAGACAAATGAGTTAGCCAGAATAAAAATGCAAGCAGCATGCAGCCATGGTCTGTTCCACGTGTTGAGTCAATGGCTCGGTTGTGCCACGTCGTGCCGGATCCGCTCCGAGGCTGGCGGGTCTTCGGATGTCCCAAGTCCACGTACGACCTGGTGTCCAAGGTGGAGGATGACATCAAAGAGTTGGAGGCCGGTGGCCGTTTAGACGAACGGTCCCCAAAAAAGAGCCGGACATGCATTGCAGATGGAACTTGGAACGTGGGGAGGAAAACAGAGGGAAAACACTAGATGAACAAATTAATACCATGGTCAAACTTTTTGCTTAAACAATTGCAAGGTATACTTTGTTCACTGTTTCTCTTTACAATGTCAAGGTTTTGGTCAAACGTGTCCAAACAAGTTGACATTAGGTTCTCGAGGATGATGTGTTTATGCCCTAGGGCTCCAACCATCTCAGAAGGTGGTCAGACCCCCCTGGCACCCACCTTCAACCATCTTCGAAACGGAGGTGGTTGGAGCCCTAGGGATGGAAGGTGCGCTTTGCAAATGTTCGGCGATACTTTCAGTTAAGGACTCAAAGGAGAAACCTTGCCCTCTCGGATTCAACGTCGATGAATGTGCGGTTTGAGTTTTCTCAAGCGCACGGTAAAGAAGTATCACTATCACTCTTTTTTGATAAGGCCTTTATTCACCATCATCATCCACTGTTACTGGCATGGACCACCCAACCAGTGGGATTTTGGTCGCTTGGTGCTCGGAATGTGTTTGGAATTCCCAGACGCATCAGACGATCAAAAACGCCATCCAGGCCAGGCGGTTGGCTTCCCCCTGTCTCCATCCTCCAAGGCGCAGTTCGAAGCGGCCCAGATGCAAGAGCAGGCCGACTTCGATGAGAGCATCGTGGACATGGCCGGGGAGCCACGGATGGGACCGCGGACCGACTCGGGTGAGGCGGCTGTGGGGCCGAACGAGGGTTGGTTCGGGCCGACCGAAGTGGGCAGATGAAAGAGCGAAGTGGTTTGCTGTGGGATGTGCATGTGGTCCAAGTGTGTGGTGGGGGTCCATGTGGGTTCCTTGATGTCCTCCAGTCGCCTAACCAGTCGCTGCTTGGGGACAGGCTTGAATTAGGTTCGCTAGAAGCTGTGCTGTGCAAGGAATCTGCTGCAATCTGCTGCATATCTATGCCACTTCGGAACCAAGATATGTGACTATTAAGGGCATATGTCGGAATGGTCTTGGTTTGTACTGCATGGGTTTTGCATAGGGGTATGCCGGGTATCCCGAGTCTTTGAATGAGCAGGGCCGGGCCGGATAGCCATCGGCCGCACGTCTTGAGGCCAAGACCATCGAGAATTTCTCTCAATATTCGGCGACTGGGCGTTTGTTGGGTCGGAGGTCGCTCGTTGCCAGCGGCACGAGCAGAATTGGTGGGCGCAGAAGTGCGTGGAGCTTCAAGTGGATGGACACGGGACAGTTGCTAAATCGATCGAGACTCATTCAGAGACTTTTAAAGCATGTTTGAACAGACTAGGCGGCTAAGGCAGCCCAGCTGCTTGTTCGTTTTGTCTACCTTTAGACACAAAAGGAAGAAGAAGAAGTAAGAAGAAGAAAAGTAATACCGAAAGAAACTATTCCTGGTCCTGGACCTTCAAAAAGGATCCCCTTCCCAAAACCAAACTTGAAGCACCATAGTCCCAGGCCACCTCCTCAAACCGTGACTTCTTTTGTGTTTGGACGCCTGGAAAGGGAGGTGTGCTGGTGCATACTACACCCTAGAAGTCAAACCACCATTTATTAATAGCCTTCACCTTTACCGAACAACCATGGTTGTACTGTACTTATAAGGGGTTTTACACTACAAAACCAGGTCAGCCATGTTTTAAACGGTCTTTGACTTTCAGGGTGCACATGTCTACACTTGGTCCAACGGAGGAACTTCTACCTCTAACTTTCCACCGGCCAGTCGCGCGAAACACATCGGATCTTTCCGCCGCACGGCCGGCCGGCGAACGAGCGAAAAGAGCAAGGACTTTGAGAAGCTGGAAGAGATCCACGAGAACGTGGAGAGTGTCAACGAGCGCTTGAAATCCGCCACTCGGTCACGTGTTGAATCGCTTGCGCTTTCGTGGCGGTCGCAGTGAGCGCAGCGGATGAGCGCAAGACAAGTCGTTGCAGGGTGAACTGGACATGAGCTCCGGGAGCCCTCTAAAGACTGACCCATTCAATATCGTTCAAACATGAGCCGATGATGAGAGGTGAAAGAACAGTGTTTGGGGTGACAACTGGTATTTAAGAAGCATTCATATGTACACTATATTAATGTGCAATTGTGCATGGCACTGGAGTATGAGAGGAAGGTCTTAGAATCGACTCTATATAACTGTTGGGGTTTGCACCGCAACCGAATGCATTGAAAAAAGGGCCTTGGCAGTTGTGCACCGTTGTAGAGCCAACATGAGCCAACCGCCTGAAACGATCTTAGACCAAACGCCATGTACATCCCAGTGCATCCCAGCGGCCCCCGCGGTCGTAGTATCACCCCGAGAGCTGCATTTCAGGCAGCATCCCAAGCGAAGCTCTTCAACTCGCGCGAAGCGCTTTTTGGAAAGGAGGTGCGCTCGGTGCCACCATCGATTGCATGGAGCTGCGCTTGATGAATCCCCCTGAAACCAGCAAACAAGATCGCATCACTGTGATGACTATGCACCTTCATGTCGGGGTCACCTGGCTGGAAGCCCCTACACTACTAAGGGACCTCCATTGGACACCCCTTGAAGGTCCAGGTATATGCATCATCATGTGAAAATCCATTTGGAGATTTGGCACAGTGATGGAATCGACAAAGACTTAGTCCAGCTCCTTTATAATAAAATCAATGTTGCATGTTTGCTAGATCCTGGGCCTTATGGGGAGTGGCTCCACACTAGTGACCTTGCAATTGACCTAGCGTCGCCCACCAGTCACCAGTCTCCCCAAACTCCCATGTCATCCACCGGCTTGTTCAAGCCCAATGTCCTTGGCTTTTCAAACCTCCCCTGGACCGGCCGGAACGACAGGTCACAGACTATGGCATGATCGCGCAGCTCACCAAAGAGTCGGAGAGACCTAGTGCGCGATGCACTGGGGACAACATTGGAAAGCTCATGTTGCATTCTTTTGGTACAATTTGCTTACCCTCCTGCAGACCTCTGCAGGACGACCGCGGAATTCCAGCCGCTTTTGGTGTTACGTCACCGTCAAAGACCGGGGGTGCAGGCGCAGTGAGACCATCGCGCCTGTGCCGACCTCGTCGGTCCCCTCCTTCCTCCGACACATCGATCCGACGGAAGAAGGAGGGTCGTCCACCGGACCGTTGCCAGTTGGGACGGTCTGGGGAGGCAGACGGTCTCCGGTCTCGACGGCCTCAGAAGTTGGCAGAGGGCCTTTGGGACCGGAAGTTTGTTGAATGATGTGAAATCCACATGAACATGGGACCTTTGGGAAGACTAGTGACCAGCTTCCTCCACCAACCAGACCTCTTTGATTTTCAAGTCCCGGGTCTATGGGTGTACATGACCAGCTGACTCAGCTGACTGACCAGGATCAGCCCGCCACACCAAGGTGGGAGCCCTTCACTCAGCTATGGGCCTGGAGCCTTGGGATGTGCGGAACCGCACCGCGCGCCACGATGCGCGCGGGTGGGGTCGTCCGGGTCGGGGTTGGTGGATGGGAGCACGAACCAAAACCTGGACCAACTGCTCAACAACTGCTCACTCTACCTGTACCTGGATTCTTCAAACAGCACGAGCTTCTCGCTGGTGCGAGGCTTTTTCAGTGAAACGGACGCTGTAAGTTAAAAAGAAACCTGGCCGTTTGAGCGGTTGCAAACATGTGCTCAAAGTCCATGGATGGGGAATGAGTTTGTTTACATGATGTTTCCTGGGGTTGGTGATGCTGTGTCACTACGATTCTGTGGTCAATGTTTCAGCATAACACATCATAACACATCCATTTTGCTCGCTGGCTACATGCAGGTCATGGCTGCCCAAGTCAGCCATGTTAAGCCCATTTTCTGCGTGATGTTCTTGACTGCCGCGATACTGGATACTCCGCGACGCACAGATTCCGCGACGCACAACCTTCAACTGAGGTCACAGCCTTCAACTGGACCAAGGATTCCAAGAAGTGGCTGTCCGGAGCCTGAGGGGGTAGCAGTAGCATGATCCGCTTCTTTTTGGTGGGAAGGGACGCATGGAAACCCCAATGCAGCCACATTGTGGGCCCACAACAGTTCGTTATTTGATGTTATTTGGATGGGGGGGTGAATGTATGTGAACCCTTTAAGTTGAAGTGGACTGGAAGGGACTGGATGTTTCTCCCCAGAAGTCGGTTTTTGCAGACAGAAATCTGGAGATGTTTGGCTGAGGAGTGGACCTTTTCAGCAAGTGGATGCCAAGTTCTGCGAGAGCAGCGTCACGGCAGATGCCTCAGGGAGAGTGGAGCGATGAGCGAAGCCTAGGCGTTTCACTCACCAGGACTGCGAGAGTTCATAGAGTTCATGGTTTGGCGCCATGGCACCCCACATTGGCATCTGATGAAAGACCCAGACGCTCCATGGGACCGGACCATTCGCATACATTGGGAGGGGGGTGTTAGGGGTCAATGTCGGCATAGATTCCCGTCCGGAGCGTGTGAAAACCCATAGGGGGCCAGTGGGGACATGTTTCGTCTGGTACCCCGCTGCGGTTTGGGGCCCTGAGGTGCGAACCGTGGATCGTATCGCGAGTTGGTTTGGGTAATGATCTTTGAGTCGACCTTATCCCTGAGCAACGGATCCCAAGTCTTGCGGCACATCGTGCACGGCTTTACGAGCAGCGCATGCGCCATTGATCTTTGAGTCTTTACAAGGAGAACTTTCACTTCAGATACGGTAACACAGTGACCTCAGCAAGGGGCTCCATCACCAACTCCGCGGTCGGTCGTCCTGGTATACTATTGTAAAGGTAGATTCGACGCGTCCCAGTCCCACCCAAAGTGGTACAGATGTTTTTACCATTTTGCCATATTTGACGGATCAGGTCTGACATATGCACAGCTGGTGCCTAATTATGGTATCCTATGGTAACTAAAGTGAATTTTCTGACTAATTTTCTGCTAGCAGAACCGAAAGGTGGCCAGTTTGAGGCTTAAGAATTCTGGGAAGACAGCTGTCGACCACCATCAGTTTCCACAGTATGAGGGGATGTTTTGCTGGATTTGGGGATCTTGATCATTTGCGTTGAGATGGAAAGATGGATAGACAAACTGGAAGTTTGGTATGTTCTTTGGACGAGAGGCAGCATTTATTTTAGCATAGTCATCCTTTACCTGGAAAACACCAAGTTGCCAAGCTACAGCATATTAGCCTGACTTCTCAGCATCATGTCCATTGCCTGATTGGTGGCAGTGAGTATTCCAACATGTTGAACATGGTATGGTGCATGTGCAAAGAAGCGTTGCGGTTGCACGACCACAGCCACAGGATGATATTGGATTGAGTAAGGTCAAAACACCGCTGGCTTACACAACACGTGAGGCGGGCGCCAAGACACTCTACAAGGCGGTCAAAGCTTTTGAGAAGCGCGAGAACTGTGATGAGGCGAGTTGGTTTGGAGAAATGCAGCGGTGTCATGCAGCGGATGTCTCAAGAACGGGTGATGGGCAATTTCCTATTTGAAGTCCTGGTGCATCCCAATATGGGACCAGGCATCTTCAGGTCTATACTTGAGGTTAATCCAACACGCAGTTTGGCCCTGTAAGGGTGGAAGAACTTCAGGGCCCGTCTCACTTATTTTTTGTGACGGGCCCTGTAAGTGACGGAGCCTCCAGTGTTAGATGGCCCAGCCTTAGCCCTAGTGTTCCTTGAACTCAAACGCTTACTGTATCTGGTCTGGTGGGATGGAATCATCATGATTCTGATTGGGTGCGACAGTCAAACCAGGCAGTCTTGCCCAAGATCTGTTAGGAACATTGTCCCCGATCTCGCGGCAGGTGCTGCAGATTGCAAAGAACATCAAGGTGACGCATCAAGATGGTGTGCCGTGTGACGAACGTTGTGCCTCTCCTTGGTTTTGCTTCGTGTGATTAAATATACATGTGATTGCTGATTTCCGTACACAGTATGTTTTCCCTATGGTTGAATCCATGTGAATCCCGGTCCAGGGAGGATTTGTTTTTTTTTGTTTTCCCGGTTCTGTCGCCAAATACAAGTTGGTGACCAATTTCCAGGCTTCGACGATTGTGATCGTCCAACGTTGGATGTTCATGATTTGTTTGGTATCCAAGAGGCACCCCAACTGGGACGTGTTGGACACATCATGACAGCAAGCCTAAGAAGTCACTGGATTTTTTTAGCAGGACAAGTCCAGGTTTTATGTTGTTTAACTGCAAAGGCAAAATGTTTCTTAAAACAGTACCTTGCAGTTTTCTTGGCACCGTGTACATTTGAGAGCTACGCTGGACGATTTTTTGTGAGGCACCATGGCATGCGGTTCGACGCCGGCGCTGCCGCCAATAGAATGGTGTTGAGCTGCCAACGCGTCAGCGCTTCAGGAGCAAATTGATGACTTTGTTCCCAAAGTGCCCTTGGTGGTGGGACTGCGGCTTGGGACACCCAGACCGCTGACGTGCTTGGCGCGTTGTTTTGCTCTAAGGGTCTCGCCGGCGCGGGGGGCGCGAGATACAACCGACCAGGAAGCGCTGGTTCCCAAGCCGAAGTACTGGGATCTTGGGGGTTCTTGAATTTTTCGACCATTAACCTACAAGTGATGGCCTGGCACCTTGAAAGCAGTGGCCGGCCTCCAACCACTCACGGGGCGCTGCAAATTGTGCTCAATCAGTTAGGCAACACACCCAGACACTCCATGTATGCCATAATTGGCCTGGTTTGGGGGGTCAATGGGGCTATATGGCAGTCCCATGGAGTGTTTGGGACATTGGCTTCTCACATCCTCGTTGAAGCCGTGCATCCGGGCAAGCTCCGCAACCAGCCCGAGGAATCCGGGCATGGCCGATCGGCACTGGGAACAAGTGTCGAATCTGATCGGGACGCCCGTGCAACCCACGATGGAGGCGCCGCGGCGGAGCTGGGGCGGCTGGGCACTGCGCTGCAGGGTAGTGGGTTGTGGTCCTTTGGAAGAAGTTGATTCTGAAACAAGTTTCAGGTTCGAGGATGTGTGTCACTCAGCGGACAGCCTGTTTTGAGATGTGTTTTGGGTGTCCAGAGGTTTGCACAGATCAATCACGTCATGTCAAATCCTGCAAGGAGGGTTTCTTTGTTTGCAGTCTAGAATCTAGTCCACAAACAAATTGATCCATATACCTGGAGCAATCTTTGTATGCAAACAATGCCATAGGCTGTACAGGTTATATTACAGTGGGTTCAGAGTAGATGGCGCAATCCCCAAGAGGTGGTTTATATCAACCCCCATGATCTAAAGGAAATGTAGCGGTTTGTGCCATCTACTCTGAAACCACTGTAAAAAAGAACATGCTTTTTGGAGCTGTCATGCCAAACACATCAATCTGTAATGTGAGTAATGTGTGTGTGTGTGTTTTTGCTTGTCCTGTGCTTTGCGGGGAAATTGACCTGCACCTGGTGCAAGACGCAAAAACGGGTGCAGAATACATCAAACCCTACAAAAAGAAACAAAGAACGCTCCAGTTCATTTTTTGGATTCCAACTTTTGATGCAGGGGTCACTTGAATGAATGCGCTGCAACGTGCAACATTTGACCAACTGCTCTCTTATGACATTTGCGGGAATATGGCGGAAGTTTGCGGACTAGAAATGTGCAGCATGTTCAACCACCTCACAAAAGTTTCAGCTTAACCAGGCTGGCTTTTGAAGCCCAATCCTCGTCTCGGCAGAAACACTATATTTCCCAGTGCATCCTCGGTGGTCCAAGTCTACCTCTCCGGGGACGCCCCGTCGTAGCATATGTATGCATATAGTCATGTTTCCATTAGCTTTCCTAAATGCCGATCATTTTTGTCCATGGCACTTGCTCCTGGGCAACCCGACATGTCGCAGTGATTTGGGATCGGGTGGTCCAGGTATCAGTGATATTTCATGTTCTTTGATGCTTGTTGCCGTCGCACTTGGACGAACTCCCACCGTTCCTCCAGAATTTCACCTTGGAGAACTTCATTGAGCCGGGAACTGCACTGGGGTCGTCGCTGTCCACGGAACGAAACGTAACAGAAACCGTCGGTCGCGCGGCCGATGCCAGTGCATGCTATGAGAACAGAACAGTAAGAGAAGATGTTGTAGTCGACTCTTTACTGTAAGGATTCAATTGCTGAAGAAGTTGGTGATGGGAGACTGGGTATCCTTCCTCCGACCTGCCATTTTGAGGCGATCCCGCGTACTGCGGGAGTAAGACGGCATGCTTCAGGTAACCGTACATACATGGTGCGAAACAATCGCCAGGGATCCACATGGTGCTTGGAGATGCTGTTATGTTTGGAGGGTCCAGTCGTACCTTCTGAGAAGGGGTACCCTCCAACTGCGGGGTGTTCTGGGGTGCCTCAAGGGAAACCCCAAACCGCAGGCCACGCTGCCTCCTCCAGCACAAAGCCAGTGGCAGAACAAGTAACATTAACCGCACAGTCAGTACCTGCGGGGTTTTCCTCATGACGAAACAGGTCGGTGGACGACCCCCTCCTCCACGTGAGCGCCGTGAGCTCGGTGAGTCGGTGTCCTTGCAGCGTCGCAGCACCCAGGCTCGGCTTGGTGCCTCATGCTGCAGCCATCGCGGACATCGGCGACCGGGCCGGCAAGGACGTACGGAGTTTCCGCCTGATCCGCAGGGGGGGTGGGTTTGGGGTTCCAGGGTGAGTTTGGGGTGGTTTTGGCACTGTGGAAAGGGGGGTCTATGGGAGAAGATGGGAGAAGTGAAGAACCGTGAGCTTGTTGCGGTGTTGTTTTTCTTTTGGTGTGTGTGTGGGCCTGGGAAAAGGACTTCTAGCAGTGCTAAGAGGCTTTCGGGAGTTCGGAAGAATAGGGAGTAAGGAGTAAGAGAACTCCCAGATCATCCCTGCACTTGTCATGTGAGTCGCCTCGTGAGTCTTGTGCGATCATGATCTTCACTACTGGACACTCGTTGCTGGTGTTTGTTCACCGACCATTTGGCACAGATTGAGAGTAGATGGCACAGACCCGAAGGGGTGGTGCAATTATGGAGCCCTATCTGAAGGACGTCATTGGGGAAACGTGCCATTTACTCTCAAACCACTGTAAATGACAATGCATTAGCCGTTTCATGCCGGTTCGGAGAATCAGGCCGTTTGTGGACGTGGAAGGCGGAGCGGAGCCACAAGGTCCAATGTCCCTGTGCCATGTCGCACCAGGAGAGAAACATTGAGACGCAGCTCAAGACGATGCAGGCCATCACACTGTTTCATTTTTGGCTCATGCAGTTTGCACCATCAACTCAAGGGGGCAAAGAGTGGCCTATCGTGCTGGGAAGAGCACCTTGAACCCGATTATAAGCTGTAATCAATTTGGTTTGCACAAAGAGATTCCAGAGTAGATGGCACAACCCCCAAGATGCTTTTTTAGATGGGGTCCATAGTGGGGTCCAGATGAACCACCATTTGCGGTCATTTACTCTCAATCCACTATACATTTGGTTTGTATTGGTGGGGCTGTCCTATCCATATCTACTGGTATGCTTCCATCGATCTATATATTTGCTTTATTTATTTTGTCTTGTAAGATCCCCAAATCAAATGTACCCAAGTGTTATATATATAATACCTACAGAACCTGCTTGGCCCCTGTTTAGGAGCCAAAACGTTGTCTTTTCTTATTAAAAACAGAGGTCTACCTGGGTTCTAGGTATGTAAAAATCAAGGTGCGTGACCACTCACTCCAGTGGGAACACCACTATTCGCGTTGATGACCACTCCCGGTGTGTGACCACTCCAGTGGTGTTCTTCCACCGTTCGCGCTGATGACCTGCCAGGCTGCCTGGGACAAGGTCTTCTTCGACTGCAGCGAGCCTTACCGGACAACGGCAGCTCGGACAAAGAAATTTTCGTAGGTCATGAGGGTGTGGCGGTGGGGCCGACTATCAGTACCAGTCGGAAAAGAACAGATGATCACTATATATATATATATATATGTGTTTGAGAATGGCCGAGTCGCTGCTAGACGTCATCATCCGAAGACTGGGTGTTTGGGATATACCCAAGAAGAACATCGACCCTTTTGGAACATCGACCCGGCAATGTTCGGAGTTCTCCGAGTTTCCGCCATGTCGGACCCAACGACCAAACCAGGACAAGCGGAAGATGAATTACTCGTCTCATGTGTGGAAGCACCCCAAGGCCCAGTAGAGCTTGAAGGAAGATGTTGGTTTTCTCGTGCCTGCTGGTGGGGTTGGACTCGGCTAGACCTGGCCGGCACTTTGCAAGAGTTGCCCGTAGGCAGGCGGCTGCCAGCTGGAGACGTACACCAGTAGTTCAATTCCCGACGATGAACTGGCTTTGGAATGTTCAGGGGAAAATCTACAGGAACCCATGGTTCTCAACCCCAATGCGAGTTTCCTGTGGATATTCTCTCGAAGCAATTCTTGTATATATTGTTTGTGTTTGTGTGCGTGACATTGTGCGATCCTTCTCCATGGTAGAAATGGTGCCATCAGTTGGCATCTAGTAGCATGCACTGCTGTAGCAGTAGCACTAGTTATGTGTTTGACCATCAATTTGATGCGTTACAGCGCCATGTCACCAAGGGCACGTACATCCTCAAAGGTGCTGACGAGGCCGGACATAGGGATATTAGTTGATGATAAGTTACAACATAGATGTTTGATGGGCTGGTCAAATCCTTGGAAGTCATTGCAGAGGACTGGATTTGTCACAGCGGCTTTGCTTGGAAGAAGTCCTTGTACTTTCCGTCAAGCAAAGCCTTTCAATCATGTTTCATTTTTGTTTGGCCGAGGGGTTCGGACGAGAGTAGAGTGATCAGCACTAAAAGATCTCTCACTCGAGTTGGGTAGAGAGTCGTTTGGAGATTTGCACTTCATGTGGAATCGGGGTTTGCCTCCTCATGTTGATCGTGAGGTTATGGCCGTCTTAGATGAACAGATCGTGGTCACCCAGGCGATGCAGTGCAGCACTCAGAGCCATCAGTTTTCGACCCGAGGTCCCAGGAAGTGGTTGAATGGATTGGGATGGTGAGATCCCTTTTTGCGAAAAAGCAAGGGGGTTGAAGGCGTCAAAAGGGGTGGTCTAGAAGGTTCTTTAAGGTTTTGCAGTGCTGGAGGGCAGAGGGCTCCGATTTGGATCATGTATTACTGATGATTAATGATGCGTATTCCGACGAGTCGTCATTACCATGATGCTTCAAGCACCGACCTCTATCCAATCTCTTGGCCCTCCTGGTGGGTATTGAACGCATAAGGGCACTCAAAACATCTCAAAACAACGTCCTCAGCTGCTGATCGTTCAGGTTTTCGCCCTTCAACAAGCCCTTCAAAGAGGAGATACGGGAATGCCAGTGGGAATGCCAAAACATTTTGGCTGGCGCCGAGTTCTGCATGTGCTGATGGTCCTGCAGTAGACTTGACCTTGGCTAATCTTGGAGCAAGAGGCATGACCCAGATATGCAGATATGGATTTCAACCAGTTGAGGTCATCAATGTGTTCATCATTTTCTTTGCATGTCTTTTGGTTTCCTGGAACTCACTGTATGTGCTTGAGATTGCTTGACACCGAAAGGCGCCTTTATATAGGCACCTAAAGGCAAGGCGCCGCATTTCGAAGCCCAATAGCTGAGACGGTTGCAGCAACTGACTTGGCAGGAGATCGACGAGTGGAACGAGAAGCTCATGTATGTGTCAGAGTGCCGGGGTACCTCAGAGTGCGGTTTGGGCTCGTGTCCGAAGAAAAAACAGACGTGATTCTCGAAAGAAGTGCCTCTTGTGTATATCTAGATCATTATATATAGATCCCATGTCCCAGTTTTGGTTGGATACTTCTTAACTGAACGTCAACTCACATGTTGGGCTTCTTAGAGCCACCGTCCGGCCCTCATCATATACCCCAGCACATCCGATGGAGTCTTGTCCGGCCGTGAATCCACCAACAGGTCCTGTCCTGCGCAGGGTTCCACCCGTAATATTCAGTTTGGAGACCGACATGTCACCCCGTTGTTTGCAAACCGACAGGGGCCCCAGCTGATGAAGATTGGACACGTTTTTGGACGCAGGGATGCTGGATCTCACAACAGCTTCCCCGGCAGCCCGCTGGCACGCCGGCAGCCCGCTGGCGCTCCGCTTGGCCCGAAAGCGAGGCTTGGATCAATGGCTGAAAGTCCAACGAGCCCCTGGCCTCAGAGCGATCAGGTCGTGGTGATTGAGTTAAGTCTCCCAGAGATGCGGTATGTCATGGGATGGCAGTACTTGGCGACTTGGCAGTTGTCAGTGGTCTTTGATGTAGCATGATGTAACTATATTCAGAACAACAGACCTGTTGTTATGCATGATGGTCTCCATTGATGGTACAACACGTGACACCATCATTGGATGATCGACAGTCTCCCGGGCGGCCGCTTCGGACACGGTGCTTCGGTCGATGGGTGACAGACCCGATACACCGCTGCGGGATCCTGTTGCCATTCATATTTGAATTATATGTAGTAACAGGACTACCATTATATCATACAACACTTCTTACACATTGTAGTTCTTCATATCTGCATAAGAACTACACCACTTCTGACCGCTCGTCGACGAGTCTGGACGTTTTGGACGGCTGTGCAAGGCCTGGATGTACTTGCAGCCGATCTTCGATTCGCAGCGCACTTACAGCTCCGATATGTGAGTGGACCGTCCGACGTGTTCGCACCAGTATGGACCTACACCTACACCTTTCGCAGTGACCCCGACTTCTGGACACCTTTAGCTCCGATGTGAGTGGACATTGGGCACCCCGACTTCGGGATACACCCAACTCCATGGAACTGCTGGACTCTTCTTTCGTTTCATTCCATGGCTGGCCGCACCAGCTGAGTCCGTACCAAGGCCTGACATCATGAAGCAGCTGCCGACAGAGGGCAAAAAGTTTAAGGTCGTAGATGGCTAGCCACCTAGTGAGTGAGAAACAATGAGACCTCAAAGAGAGCTTTGGAATCTCATAGGTCGGGCAATCGATGCACATCAATCTCATCACATTGACATGATGACAAATGTGTGCTTTCAATGGTTTAAAATTAGGATCATTCCGGATTGGTGCAGGTGTCGGTGGACAAGAATTTCTCATAATTTGTCAGCATATGTTTAGATGTAGACTGTCGATGAAGCAAAGCCTACCCAGAAAAGCTTGCTCTCTCCATGTCGCGAGTTTTGTTGATCAACAGTCTATACATGGTTTGCCTTTTGTTTGATTGAACGCCATGCCTAAAAAGAATATCATGTTCGCCGGACTGCGATCGATTCAATCACCACCGTAGTAGTCACGGTGCGTTTACCACGCTGAGGAAAATGGCGGCAAACCATGAGCCCGCGGCCGAGTTATCTAACACCCAGCCAAAGAGGGTCACACACGCAGATGACAAGTCAGTATTACCATCATTACCTGTAGCAGTCAGTAAGCAACTATCACTGTTTTTGAGCAAGGCCTTTACTAACCATCAATCCACTGTTACTGGTAATGGGACAGACCCAAAGCATTGCAGTAGTGCAAGGGCATATGTACTCTCAAACCACCACGTTGGCTGGGGGGACTTGTCGAACTCACCCAGGCCGTGTCCATGCCAATGGCCACGCGCTCACGCAATGTACACAGGAGCAGACCTGTCCTGAAGGAATGCAGTTCACAAAACGGAGTTGTTAGGTTCTAGCCCTAGGGCTAGACTTCCCAATCCCACCTGAACCATCATCTCAGGAGGTGGTTGGAGCCCTAGGGTAGAGTGGTGTCTTTAGATCCATCCGACATGAGTTCTATATAAGTGGATCAGATGCAAGTAGTGATGGGCCGCAGCCCGGGGGTGTTCGGTTAACCGGTCCAAGAGTCCGAAAGCGACCCGGTTCTTCGGAAGCGCCGTGGACCTGGGGGATCGGGTCGCCCCACTTAACAGATAAAAAGGATAAAGAAGGTTAAAACCCTAAACCCTAAGGAGGTGTATAGCGCGACTTGCGGTCCCTGTCCGTCACGGCCTTTCATAGGCAGTGAAGCTAAGAAGGTGTATAAGCTGAATTGTGTTCCAGGGAAACAGAAAAAAGTCATCCAAAGTCATTTCGCGCCCTTTGACCGAGATGCAGAGGAAACAGTGATTTGTTTCGTTGGCTCCAGGAAGGCTTGCTGCAGCAGTGGCAAGTGGTGAACAAGGATTTGGATATGGCTCCTCGGCCAACACTGGAGAGAAATGGAATAGCACTGAGATTGATGTCACTTTTGCAGTTTAGATTAAGTGGACCTATTTACATATATACAAGATCGTACAAGGGTTTGGAATTCCGGAATCCCTACATTGGTTGGCCTGTATGGTTGTTGATGAACGTTGACGAGAAAGTTCTAGGAGAGGTGTTTATGAACCCGGCATTCGTAAGGTCAAGCAATGTTGGTTTAACCAACGTGACTGCGGACACTTGTAGCATCTTGTAGCCATCAATCAACCTTGACCTATTATCAATGCAGTGGAACCCAGAAACACTCCCGCCACACCTTCCCACACCACTCCAGGTGTGCGTCCAAGTTCGCTGCAGCGTTTTGTTGTAGCGCATGCCACCACTGTGTTGGAAGAGGTTCTAATGCAACTCATGAGGCGCACCACAAAGTTGTGTGAGGCACAGCACCAAAGACTTGGTCTTGTGGATCGGGTGTGTTACTAGTTTAGTTAATTAATTACTAATGGGTGTGTCAGACATGGTGAGCCGGGTGAATCATGGTGAATGTGTCCTTTCTGGCGGAATTTGTTTGACTTTGTCCCCCAGTTCGTGGGAATCAGCAATTCCAAGAAGTGGAGTCTTCCATGTCTACTCTGCTCCACGAGGGGAAGGATGACATGGTGCAAGGATTGCCACCACCGGTGGTTTCAGCCCAGGTCCAAAAAGGCTTGGACGATTATTTGGCCACGAAGCTCCTGGGGCTGAGCCAGACAGGGGAGGAAGGGTGGAGACAGGGGAGAAATATTTGAATATGATAATTTCAACATGTTGGGATTCTAAGCAAGTGCTCTGAGGGAAGTGTGCACGGATGTTATATTTGACTTCAATGGTCACCTGCACTGTCACGGTTAAACGAGTGGTAGAGATACAACAAGAATTGGGTTGCCAATGTTGTCAATAGGGGCAGATCTGAATTGGAAATGGGTGATGTGATGTTGTTTGCATTTTTCTATAATTATAGATATATGATATGGGATGATATAGGTATATAATCTCGACGTAGGATGAATACACGCTCCCCCCCCCTTCAAGGTCAACAAGGTTTGAGATTTGAGGTATTGAGGAGGACACCCCCCTAATAAAGGTGATGAGCTGATGATGGATGATGGTTGAGTGTATGGGGCATGAGGAGATGAGAGTTTGAACCATTTGGTGATAGCATTGGAAAACAAGAATGAGGCCAGAGGGTGGGATTGATCAATAGGGGGATGGGGTCTTACTATTGGGGGGAGGTGGGCCTGTGTGAGGGGTACCCTTTGTGAGCTTGAAAAAGTTAAGATGTTGATAGAGTTTTAAAAGGGGAACATGAAAGACATTTGCTAGACAGTTTTTGGGGTTTTCGGGGATGGTTGGTAGGCAGTTGAGAGGTGGTGGTGAGAATCAGGAAGATGACGAGATGAAAACACCAATGCTATCTCTCAAAGAGATGGCATGAGACAAGGGTGGATCGGAAGATCAGTTTCACCATGGACCAGAAGATATTGGAGACTAGCTAAACAGAACGCAATATAAACTAACTATATTTAAATAGTAAAGGATGTTTTGTTTTTCTGGGACAGCTGGGGTTGATTAATAGGGGGAAGTTTCTGCCCAGGAAAAAATATTACAGTATATAGGGGGAATGCCAAGGTGGAAATCTAGGTGTTCAATTAGTTTAGTATTGGGGGGGGTCGAGCTGGGATTGATTAATAGGGGGTGGTTACTCAATCCTATGTCAACATTATGGAATATAGAATGCACCACTGTATGCCATTATTATCCATTATTATTACAATGCAGATATTACAATGTAGATAAAACAACTAATGATAAACATATATCCTTTTTGGGTTTGCTTGAGGTGTGCTGCCTTCGCGCGGTTTTACTTCCTCTCCAATGACGAGCTTTTGGAGATCCTTTCCCAGACCAAGGTGGGCCACCGGGAGTCGCCTGGATGATGGATGAAAGCTTCAGCGGCCAGGATATGATTCGTTCGGATGAAAGAGGTGAGCCGCCATTGAAAAAGATATCATTCTTAGTAGATGGATACAGATACAGGTATTTTGTCGAAGTTTAAGCAAGACTTGTTTCTCTCCAGTGAACCGGTTTGGGGGATACACTGGAAGGACTTCGTCCAATTCAGCAACAGCCTGAGATGCTGGTATGCTAGTTAGGCCCGAGGCATGAGGCATGTCATCATCCTGCCCTGAAAGTCCTGCATCGTCCTGCCCTGAAAGTGCAATCAACAACGAGCCATGGCAGGGTCGCCGACACTGCCAACACTCAAATATGTTGATTCCCAAGGTGTGCAACCTTATCGCAGCACCCAAGGCCACCCTAGGCTGGCTGTGAGATTCGGCTCCCAATTTTTGGGTGTGCTTGTGGCGGAAAGAGCTCCGACTGTGCTGCGGCCTTTTCTGTGCAGGACCCCTTGCGTGTGCAGCCCTTCCTGTCAAAGGTCTTCGAGGCGGAGTTGTTGCTGAATGTTGATGAGTCCTCTCTGAGCGTTCGAGGTTTCCCTCAGATCTTTTTGGGCAACCAGCCAGTGGCGCGCCGCGCCGGTGCCCCTCCAACAAAAATCCACAGCGACAATCCACCAAGTCTTTTTCAACACACTTGGTCCTGTTGAGTGAACACAAAGGTTGATTGAAGGATATTGAAGGTCCATTTTTCTCTTGGGTCAACAAAGGCATCCCGGTTTTGACCCGCAGCCAGCCATGTCAGTAAAAAATGGCTGAGACCCGGACTCAGTACATGACCTCCCAGTCCCTCCCTCACATTCCACCGGTCTTTGTACAAATCCGTTTGCCCGTGTTCGACGCAGACCATCAGACAGTCGTGGCTTTTCCACTTGATCAACAGCTCCAGTTCACACTCCATGTTATGGATTGTTGTGGCTTATATTTACCTACACTGGAACTGGCAGGGGTGTGTGGCCCGGGGTCCATGTAGACATCCATTCCAGTGCCCAGCCGGGCCCCTTCAGGGGCCCGCCAGTCGCTCCGCAGGCGATGAAGAAGCTGACCTTCACTGACTCTTTGGTCGCTACACAGACGCCTGGCAGGTCACAGAGGCTTCTGTTGGTGGTACGGAGCGGATGGTAAGGAGTGAAAAAAGAGAAAGGCATGGTCCCTTCCCTAGCCTTCAAACATGATTAACATGTTAAAGGTGCTCCGTGGTGGAATACATGGGAAGACCCTGAATCGAACAGTCAGGATCGAAAGAGATGGGAACACTGAACATTCTTTGGCTCACGTGTTTTTATGATGTTTTATGAAACACTTGCAATGTTTGAGGGTATATGTATAGCTATAATGGGAGGATTTTGATCCACACTTGATTGACATTGAGTGAGAAATCAATGATAATCATGCAGTTCCCTGGCGGTGCCGGCGCTGGATTTTTTTTTCAATCTGTGTGTTCTTTCTTTGCATCACTTGGCTAAAAACCCATGGCCCGTGTTCGAAGATGGTATCCAGGTCTCCCATTTTCAAGATTTTTCAAGTCACGTCAGTAGTCACGGCCATGGATGGCCCAGCTATGGCCGAAACCGCCCGTGGCAGCCGCTCCGAGGATGCACTCCAAAGAGGGGGAAATCATTGATTTCGTGGGCCACCCCAGAGAGACGGAAGAACGACGAAGAGGGGCGGAACGGGTGAAAAACGCCGTTTGGGGTCCGTGTTGGTGTGGTCCTTTGACAAACGCTTGGGGCTTTGGACTGGAAACTGGCAGGGAGCTGCTCACGTTCCGAGACCACGAAGTCGAAGTCCGGCAAAAAGCACTGAGAGGACACTGCTTCTAGAGCTTGAGCGTCCCAGTCATGTGGATTTGGAGGAGGGAGGGTGACGACGCGAGTGGGCGAGTGGTCACCACAGAATGAGTTTGCTTTACATGAATAACTGTCCATTCACGAGAAAATATATTTGTCTATCCTTGTTTAATTGCTGCTTTCTTTGGCACAAAGTATGTCAACATGGGCACCCTTGTTCCTGCTGGTCACTGGTCGCCACAAGCGTTTGTATTTGTTGAGCGCGCGGGCGCGAGGTGAACCCAGTCTCCACGAAAGACAAGAATGTGGAGACCTGGATGACCGCTGGGGCACCTGTGGTCACTGGCGGGAGATTGAGCAGATGTGAGGTCGAGTGCAATACTCGCTGTGGATGTGCAGACAGGATGGACTTGTTTTATTGTATGATGTTCACTTGCGCCGCGCAATCTTGCACACGCATTTGCCAGACTCAGAGATGGAGAGATAGGGAAGAAACCTTGGGCTTTGGGTTTCTCAGGAGGGGCAGGGCAGAATTGCTCTCTAGAAGGAACTGACACCGCCGAATGTAGCAGCTTTGCTCACCTTCAACAAGGGAGTGCGGGGTGCCGCTGCTTGAAGAACATGCACCAGCTCTGGACTCGAGCCTACGTAGCTTGACATGATTTGGCACGTGGGAGCCTGGGCCACTGCAGTTTAGAGGCTCAGGATGTTTTACCCCATGCAAACACACGGATCAAGCAGCATATTAATGTGTGCAGCTTTAGGAGGAATCCGGCACCACCCAGGTGACTTCTTAAACATGGTAGAGGGGACTGCAGAAGGCCCAAGGCACACCCAGTGGAACACCCTCTTTTTGTAACTTGTTGTGCCTTCCCGGCTTTGAGCCAGACGCTTACTTGTCATGCCAAAAGCTTTGCAGCTAAGTGTTTTGATAGGGCGGAGGGTCAAAGGATAAATCTGAAGCTCCCTGTGACCAATTCCAACTTCCAACCAAACAAGATTTGAGAGAGGTACTCCTGTGTCGACCTGGTCGAGGAGGCATAAATTGTGTGGACATGGGGAATCAACCTGTGAGAAATCCAATGTGTAAATCACTGGTCCCTCGGGACCCGAATGAGCTGAAAGAGGCTTGTCCATGACTTCGACAATGGAAAGACCCTGTGCATCCTGCAGGCTGATCATGAACGTAATGGAAAGACCCTTAGATTGGGAGGAGTGTTGTGTTTTTGCTCAAATGAGGAACGCCAGTGGAGCAGCACTTCGACAATACTTCAACAACCACCCCCCCCCCCCCCGCGTAGGGCATCCGGACGTGCGCCACGAGTCTCCCGCCATGGGGGATGAATCGAAGATGACCATGGACGCCGTGGCGGAATTGGTGTTTGAGCAGTTCCATGAAGAGAAGTTTCAAGCAGAGGTCGAATCCTTTATCCTCACCCATTTCGAAGAGCGCCTTGGTATGTAGTGGGCACACTTAGTGGCACACTTATATAGATGATTAGCTACCTGTGCATGACGTTGACGACAAGACGGATTATCGCTGTTAAGATGGAATGAGACGAGTCTCCATTTGCAAAAACATCAGCGCGCTTAGACTCTTCAGGAGTTCACATCCAATGAATTCCCGTGAGCCAAAAAAGGGTGCTTCGATCATGTAGATACGCAAATGCAGTTCAGTATCTATTTATACGCAGAGGATTGCAGAGATTCTTTCTACTCAGTGTGAGTGCGAGAATTCTGCACGAGTGCCTTAAACCGGCATCCGGTTTGGACATGGTTTTCATGGTGTGGGCCTTTTGTTGCGGCCCCAGCACCGAGGTTTGCGGTGGCTTTGCCGGATGGCAGCTGCCCCATGCATTGGGTGACCACACATCGGAAGTACAAGCAGATCTATGAGACACTTGGTGTTTTTGCCCACCCTATGGTGATGTGTTTCTTTTTCTCCCTCTTGGGTGAGTCCATGGGAATCCCCTAATCCGGGGATATTTCAATCCACTTCTTGTCCCGGTAGCAGTTGTCGCGGCAAATCCCAGGAAACGACTGCTGAAGATCTTGGACGACTGCGATGCAGAAGCGACCAGCTTCATGGACCGTTGCGGGAGGTGAGGTGAGGTGAGGTGTGGAGAACCTCAAGGTAACATGGTTGTAGGGGAAAATTGTTCTCCACAGGGTAGTTCTCCGGGTCGCTGTAAGTCTGCAAGGTTCCTAACATCAAGAAGAATGATTCACCATGCATGGCCAGACCCCTTGTTCGAGGTAGCCTTTTTTGGTTTGGTTGTCAATACTGTAGCTTTGGGTGTCACTGAAGCTCTAAGATCGCGCCAAAAACCACTGAACCATGAACACCCAGTATCTGAAAGTATATCGGAATATAGCTACAGCTCCAAGTAGCTGTGCCTTCGCTCCACCGGAAAAAAGGAAACAGCTTTTCGGCGGCTCCCCGGGCGTGCGCTGTGGGCGGAAAAGCCTCCATGGCGCCGTCTTCGCGCAGCCGCTGTGGGCGGCGCTGCGGGCGGCGGCGTCCCAGGGGGCTCAAGCTGCCAGAGCCGCCCTTGTTGGTGGCTGGGGCGATTGGTGGGACACTCGGAGATCAGGTGGAGCAAGGAGATGAGTGATGGGACCCACAAAACGTCACATGGGAAAAATTGGTTGGATTAGTGATTGGGCGATGATTAGGTGATGGTTTTTCAAGCAAGTTGACAACGATTAGAGCTGGTTTTGTCGTGGGGAGCTGGAGTGCAACTCACTTTTTGTTAGGGAGTTGATGTAGTTGGCAGTTGGTTTGACCACTGGTCACTGGTCACCCCTGAAGTCACTTTGAGCACCACGGGGGCGTACTTCCTCCAGAAGTCCAACCACACATCACTCACATCACGCATGCTTGTTAAAGGTTTCAAGCTGTTTGTACATGTCAATGTCGTGTTTGAAACCCCCACAACGGGCTACGGATGGCCTTCACCAATCACCAAAAGGACCTCAATGCCGCTGGCCCACCACCTGGAAGAACTGCTTGGGCTTAACCCTCCCCGTTCAACCCAGGCCCTTGTGCATGTGCCTGGTCACGCCTCTACGCACCGCCCTCTCGTTGGCGAGCCAACAGCCCCACGCGACGGCCTGGCAGATCTACAGTTCGATCTGGCAGCAGGGCCCAGCTACAGCTTGGACCGGAGCGACGATCAACCTCCTCACCAGCAGTCCCTGGTCGGAAGGAAAAGGATTCGCACATCCATTGTGTTTTTTGTTCTTTCCTGGTCCTGAGGTTGATTGTGCACTGCTATGCAGGGCAAGATAATTTTGTTGGGTGTCGATGTTGTCGAACACGTGATACACGTGGAACTGCGCCTCAACACATGCGCAACGTTGTGCTGCTCGCAAAAATCGGTGATCTGTCGCAGGTCCCATGTTCATCGTGCTTGGCCCTTTGTATCATTTCTGGAAGGAACGTGTTGGAGGAGTCATGGCCGTGGTTTTCTCTTCGATGGTCGAGTCACTTGTGACGTATGGGCCGCAAACCGTCACAGCGCAGATGGCGGTTTGGGGGCACAGAAGTACCTCCATGGCCGAGGCAACGGGTGTTTCGGTTGCCGAGGCGACGAGAATTCCGTGACAGGTGAACATGGTCGTGAAGTTCTAGGGGTGCAATTCATGTCCTGTTTGGTCACTATAAGTATTATAAGTTGGGTTGGATAAACTGTGGCGACGGCTCCACCAAACCCGGTTGTTGGAGCTTGGTTTTTCCGCGTTTTGCTCGTCAGGTGCTTTGCCCCTATGGGCCGGGTGTGGTGATCATGACGTTGAGGAATGCCGTCGCGATGAGTGGGATCCGACTGCTGAGCGAGCCCTTCGAAAGGGCTTTGCTGTGGGGAATTGACCAGCTTAGTTTGCCGATGCCCAAGGGGATGGTGACCTTTATGGCGGACTTATTGGCTTCCTCGGTCACATCGATACTCAGCGCGCCCCTCAATCAACTCTATACATTTGCGGTGATTGACCTGGAATACCAACAGGCAGGGTACTTGGAGAAGTTGCCGCTGTGTGCCCTGGAATGCGCTGAAGGTGACATTTTCGTATTCATGGAAATCCCTTCCTAGAACTCGACACACCGAGAAGGTTGCCTGTTGCCTCACAGAACCTGAGTTCAATATATAGTTCAACTAGTTTTAGATTAGGAGGGGGGTCCTCCCAAATTACCTGATGTGTGCGTGTGTGTTGTGAGTCAAGTTCCTTTTATATAATTATGACGTAGCCTGGTGTGTTGTGAGTCAAGTGCCTTTTATACAATTATGACGTAGCCTGGTGTGATTGGATTTATATCGAGCTTGTCCACTTCATGTACTTCTCTACTTCATGCAACTCACCTTTACCCACTTGTTCTTACAAAGTATCCTCCTTGCAAGGTAGCAGACCTTTTGTGAGCCATTTCAAGGTAGCAGACCTTTGGTGAGGCACTGAAGGATAACATTGATATAGAGGAGGAAAGAGCCTTTTTAAGAGCAGACCTTGACCGAGCCACGCGAGGGTAAACTTTAGAGGGGGAGGATTGAGTTTGGTGTGATCCATCATGAGTCGCATGGTGTGTTCCTCAGTGCTGAGCTTCATCCTCGTCCTCATTCTCTCTTTCATGCGTGTTCCCACCCGTGTTCCTCCTGTGACGGACTTTTGCTGCTGGCCATTCTTTTGCTGGACCTCATTCTCATACTTGCTGCTGGTGTTGCGCGCTGATCTTCTGCTGCTGCTTTGCTGCATTGCTGCTGCTGGTTTGTTGCTGGTTTGCTCCTCGTTTGCTCCTCGTTTGCTGCTGTTGCCGCTGGCTTCTCTACTGGTGGTTTGCTTTTGCTGCCACTGCTACACCGCCTACCAGCCTTTCACCCTCCCCCCTTTTGTCAAGAGTCATGTCTAGTCCACAGGACCTACCACACATTGATACATGTATACAGAAATATATTACTGTATGTGTATATACATGGGCATGTTCCCTTATCTCACCGATAAACTCAGGGCCCTCCCCTGAACCCCCTCTGATAAATAAGCATTGCTGCCCGAATGGTGAAAACTATGCGATTTGCTTCCTATTGATGCAAAGCATGTGCAAGGAAGTTGTTTGAATTATGATCGCAGTGTCCAATGAAGTTCAAGATGTAATTGGTTTCTTTTTTCGAAAAACACCCCTTGATTGCAGAACAATGAGCAGTTTTGCCTCAAATTAAGTGCACTGCGCAACTAGTACCGTTTACATGTGCACCAAGACGGAATGCTTCACTTGTCATTGTTGGCGATTTCGTTCAATTGCAATTTGCTACATCTGCTATTTTGGTGGGTCGCACACAGTGCCCAAAAATTATCCTTGTTAAGGCTTAACAGGGCTTAATAAGGCCTTAGTAAGCCTTATTAAGGCGTATGTTCAACTTATTCTTCATGGGGGTCTAGTCTACGGACCTGCGCCTGTGCAGAAAAACGTGTTCCAGCTACGATTTTGGTGCTTCCACCAATGCAATATGCCATATGCTTTGGAGGCAGAGTCATGGCACCTCAACGACCCCCCCAGAGTCATGGCTGATCCATCAATCCAATTCACATTGAATAGTAAATAAACATTTGTGTGGACATGCAAAGCCCCCCAAAATATTTTATTTTCGGTGTCAATGTAGAATAACTCTTATTTGGAGCTACTCCAGGCTTATTTTTGGATTTTGGAACATAAGCACTAATAGGGCTTAATAAGGTCTAGTAGGGCGTGATTTTGGAAGAATTGCTCTATTTTGGAGGGGGGGCGATCAGGGGAGGGGTGACATTTTACCGGTGATTATCCAAGGTTGGCTCTTCTTGTCAAGCACCTACTTGGTCTGGGGCAACGATGGGCATTGGCATGGCTTCTCAAGCACTTTGCCTCGGGACTTGCTCTTGCGATGTGTTTTCCACGCTACCCTAATGAGCTTGTCCCTCAGCTGATGGTATGACGTTTTCATGGCGACTTCTTTTTCCTCCACCAGACCGGCCTTTCTCATGCCGCGGGGCGCACACACACGAAGGCTCTACCATGCTCCACTTGCCTTTGGAGGGGTTTGGGAGGTGTTACAGTTGTGCAAAGCAGGATGTGGGGGGGGGTTGTTTTGGGGGCCAGGCTTTGACGATTTCATGGTTGATCCAACCAAATGGCCCAAGTTCTCATAGAGCCACAGTTCTCAAACCACGCTGTTCCAGAACAGGACAGATCACGCTGTTCCAGTGATCCGACGGTCCGACGGTCCGCTCCCTCTAAGCAGAAGCGTTGATTTCGAGTGCACATAACGAGCTGTGTGGGCCCAACCTAGTTCAATTTGTGCATTTTCCGTGCATTTGTTCAATGGATAGCCTATGCACTCCAGTGAGGTTTGGGGGGAGAGTCACCATGGGTTCATGATGGTTCACGTGATCTATTTGAGGCCATGAGCACCAGGACCTTCAAAGTGACCTTTTGAGATCCCAGAATTCCAGAATGAGGTCACTTAAGCTTAGTCACTTAGAGACTCCAAAGAGGTCACTTTTGAAGGGTCTCTTAAGGATTCTTAAGGAACATTGCCAGGGTCAGGACTCGAAGCCATCGCGGGTGTATTTTTGCAACAACCATCAATGCTCCTTAAGGTTCGGACGGAACAGGCAGTCGTTCGGGGCGTTTCGTCTCGTTCGTGCGAAGGGGACACGTTCGTTACACCACCGCTTGGTGCCCGGAACAGCAAGCGCGCAAGTACGCCAATTATAGTGATCCCAGTAGTGATCCCCATAAGATAGAGGCACGGTTTCCAATACATTCTTAGTGGGGATCTACTTTGCTATATATTTGGAGTATTTTGGAGTGATTTTTGGGGTGGTATTTGAGGTCTATATGGGTCTGTATATACCAATTATGGAAATTGATAGGGAACATCTATGGAAACATAATGTAGCCTGGGTGTTTCAAGGAGGAAGGCCGTTTGTTTCTTCGGTCAATGGGATGTGGCAGCTACTACTAGCCCTTTCTCGTCCAGACTCGCTGTGGGCAACTGAGGTTCGCATTGGCGGAAAGGATCTCAGTGAATCTTTGGGCCAGGTTTGATCCTGCCAACCTGTCGGATGCGGACGGCCTCGGGGCGGAACTGTCCATTGCAAACGCAAATGACGCTGATGGGATTTGTCCATCTCTGGGCTACAAGAATCGTTTTGAGAGTCTTGGGGAAAAGGGATCCCCTCTTCAGCAAACATAAGTGTCCAAAAGGACTATCCCTCAGACATGTGGAGCGTGAGCTCATCCTCACACATGAGTGTCCATGCTTGTTTGCTGGAGGGAAGGAGCTTGTGAAGGCATGTCCCTACCAAGACTAGTTCCGCTCGAGGTGTTCATCAGCGGTTCCGCAGCGTAGGTAGGGGTCCCTCAGGTGCCCGACGATCATGTTTGACTGTTTGACCCATTTTGGTTGCCCTTTGACCTCCTTTCATTCCTGTGCAGAAGATATAATTGCATATTACATACAATTTGAAATGACCGTATTTGGGGCAAACGACTCGGTCATTCATGCTTGTTTCCACACCGACATCCCCCCAAAGAATGTTTGGTGGGATCCAGGTAGCGTTGAATTGGAGGTTCGAAGGGTGAGCGGCTCCAATGAGGCCGTTTGGAGAGAGCGCGAGCCGGCGAGGCTCGTGCGAGCACGTGGCTTCCATGGCCAAGCCAGGGAAGGAAGCCAACCAGGAAATCTCAAAGACCCGAGCAATGGCGAGGGCAAAAGGGAGCGTCATCAGCAAATGCACGCTTGGTCAAAGATAGTCCATTTAATCCATGCTAGAGGAACCATCGCGAAGATACAGATTGTTGTGGTCAAGAACTTGCAAACACACCCTTTATAAGTAACTGTTGACTGTTGGCACACAGCGTCCCAAAGATTTTCTTGCCAACCCCCAACACACAAAACAATCAAAACAGCTCTGTTTTTTTTGCTGTCGTTGTCCAATTTCCATCAATTTCCCTATCAGCACTTATGAGCGATTTCGGGTGATCTTCTCAACGTTGGTGACCGCATGTATTGCTGCGGCCGCGCATGTATTGCCGCAAAAAACAGCACATGTAACTGTTCTTCCACCGAAATCGCCACGCCGCAGAGCCACGCCACACGTTAACTAGAGTCCCTCCTTCATATCATTTCGCTCCAAGCCATCGCCAAGTGGTGAACCTGTTTGGTTTCGTATTCAAGAGTGGCCGCCCAAAAGGGTCGGGACTACGCCGCGAGGACTACTTGGGTGCCTGCTGCGAGGTCTACGGCGAGGATCCTGGCTTCCAACGGCTTTGGGCAGGTCTCACGGCCGGCGAAGATTTCCAGGCCTTCCAGCAACTCATGCACCTTGGCAGAACAAGGACGAAAAAGGCGGAAGTTGCTTGGTTCGGACAGCACCTTAAGCATAATAAGCATTGCGTGAAGTGAACAGGACGTTTTGGAGGTTAGATGTTTTTTTTTTTTTGCCTTTTTCTCATGTTTTGGGTGCATGACGCGTCGGGTGCCAGCAACAAAAGCATCAATCTTACTGTGAGCTCCGCTGGGCTCTTGGGATTGAGAGAGTCACCAAATGTCACTTGTATGTAGCGGCAAGACTGGACACCGCGGAAGACTGTTTTCAACAGATGAGATTGGCAAGTTGTGAAGAACATGGGGACCCACGGACCTAAACAAAGCAAGGATGAATTAGATCGAACTGTTGTTGGGATCCCTCATCTTAGAGCCAAGCCCTTGCCTTTGTGCTACATGAATTTTTGCGTGTTGTTGCTATACTTTTGAGTGCTGGTGGAGAAGACAAATCAACGTACACAACGCTGCAGAAACAAAAATCAACACACAAAATTTAGGCATACAAAGACATCCTGGCCGTGGCCAGTTTCCCAGTCCTTTCCCAGTCCCAAAGAAACCGAGCCAGGTTCGATGCCGTGCGAGAGAATTGGGAGCCAGATGAGCACCAACTGCCGACTCCGGGGTACCAGTTGCACCAGGTAGGGATCAAGGGCACGTCAGCTTCGGCTGGCACGTGGGATGAGTATGGATGAGTTGTAGAGCGTTTTTTTCCTCGCCTCTAACACCAAGAAATGGAGAGCTGTTGGTGAAAGATGGTCCTTTCGTGTACTCAGGAGGCAGGAGGCCACTGAGGATTTTGTTGAACATCGCAGAACGTCTGAGTTGAGGTTTGGAAAGTGGGGTCTCGCCGACCCCTCCGAGAGCCTTTCCCTTCCCAGTCGCCTCCTCGTCTCGGTTTCGTCAGGTCGACGTGGCGATTCCGGAAGGTGGGCTGCGGATGGGGTGCGGGGCTGCGGAGGATGGGCACCTGAAAAGGACATCCATAGGTTTGGGTGGTTTGATGATCTAGGATATCTAAGACTACATGATTTCTGATGTTCATTGATTTTCTATCTGCTGGACTGGTTGCTAATTCCAAGCTAATGCTGGGGCTACTCCCGGGTAACACCCTGCAATACAGCAGCCTTTGCTGCAAACCATCAATCGCCTTTTAAGCCTTTTAACACATGAGTTCGATGCTACAAGGCTAGGCCTTTGTGCGGCCGGATGGAGGCCGCCAGGTCTCATGTATTCGAACCAGCCGCCAGGCACTGGATGCCCGAACATGTGCATCACGATGCTGAACTAGTCGGGTGAAAACCACAGGGCCAAGAGGAACAGCAACAAAAACACCACCACCATTTCTACCACCACCATTAACAACAGCAGCAACAACAACAGCAGCAACAGCAACAGCAACACAAACACACACACACAAACACACACACACATCAACATTATGTTTTAACATATCATGAATAATATGCATACTTACAATCAACATCTCAAAGTTCTGGTTTTGCAGATGTCGGAATGATATTTGTTTTGTTTTTGTCACCCCTCCCATCCTCACACGTTGCAGAGCTCTCCATAGGCGCTGCGCCGGGCACCCTGCTGCGAGTCACCTACCTGGGCTACGCCCATGAAGTGCCTGTTCCCCCAACCGCTGAGGGTGCCGCCCGTGTCGCGCTGCAAGTGCCCCTGCCGGCGCCGCCCCCCGCGGCGGCGTGGCAAGCGCCAGTGGCGCCTCCGCTGCCTTCAGCTTAGGTAATTTGCTTGAGTTATTAGCTACCAGAAGCTGCAGCAGATCACCAGGAGCCACTAAGACATACTAAGACTATAGGATTAGGACCTTGGACAAGGTTCAGCTGAGCAAAGGCTATAGCCTTCGGGTGTACAGGTGGTCGGCATATTTGCATGTATGGGAAGATTGTCCATTTATTCCCTGAAGTTTTATGTGTGGTTTGCATCTCCCAAAGAATTCAATCCATTGGTCTGAACTTGGAATCGTCCCACCGCATCCATCGTCATTCAGACTGACAGTGCCCACTGGCGCCAATGTGCACGGTGCAGAGCTGGCACGGAGGAAGCGATCGGGCGCAGATGCAGCGACATCGGGCGCAGGCGATAGAGATGTGCCTTGAGCCCTGAAGCTGGGCCCTGGCTTCTATGTCACCTTCAAGTTCATAGGTGGGACACCAGGAATTTCCAGCATGGTGGCATGGCTTTACAAGCCTTGAGTCACATGAGCGGTGCCTGCGGAAAAAAGAAGCAGACAAGAACACAGCTGGACTGGAGCTGACTGTGCCGTCAACCCCTTCACACTGTTTGGGCGAGGTGTGTGACACATTTCTGTTTCAACACATGTCCCATGATTTTGCCGACTTTACCAGCTCACCCCACCCTGTCAAAAACATGCACCAACTTTGACATGGAACTCACCTGTATATACTTGTCCAAAAAATCCAGCCATCCAGCCTTCCGGATGTCGTAGTCGGCGATCATTCTCATGTTAACTCGGTGTGAAACAACGTGCGGTTCGCTGCGTCGGTGTGGCGTCGGTGCCGTGAAGCGGCCGATGTCGCGTGCTCCGAGGAAGTGGAAAATGAGATGATCTCTGGTGTGCGCAACGTTTGTCGCATTGGAGTGCGAGGGCCCAGAGAGGACAGAAAAAAGCTGACTCAGGTTGGTTGCGATGAGGAAGGCGGGTTTGCTGAGTTGTTGCACTTTTCTTGGGTCAGACAGTACTGGTATTTTTGAAGACCCTTCAAGGTCAATTGACAGGTGTAGTGAGGTCAAAAGTGACATAGCAGATCTTGGATGCTCAGGTGGAGTCATACCCAGAGCTGCCACGCACCGAGTGGGTCGCAGACTTAGCCAGAAGCAGAATGCAGAACACCCTTATTATGTCAGAGTGCTTCATGGCACATAGTGGCAGTCATTTTTGGCGGTTCATGTCCAGCACTCCTCACTCATTTGTGTTTTGCCTTGTTGAACTATTTTGTTTGCCAATGATGTTCTTTTCATGCCAATGTCGGCAATCAAGAATCAAAGACTTCGCACTCTTCGGTGCGAACGAATCGGTGAATCTGTGAGGTCTTGCAGAATCCGGGACAAGTTTGCCTGAACTCCAGCCAAGTTCATTGGCCTGGAGCCCAGGAACTGGGCTTCCACCGGTCGGTCCACGGTCGGTCGCCCGGTCGGTCCGGTCATCCCAAAACGGTACTGTTTCTGTCCCGTGCAGTGAGCAGTCCTCGCGAGACCTCCCAAGGACTGCTGAAGTGGAAGATGCCATTAAAAGTGCGAGGCCTAAGAGAGAAGCAGATGGTCACTGCCGGACGGATCTCCGTTGACAACGCGTGCTTGTTCCAAAAAATACATGCAAGGATGAGGGAATCCAGGTGCATCAAACAAGCAGCATCCACGGTGGATCCGACCAAGTGCAACTAGTCAGACATGAAAACGCAGGTCCGGTGCCCTCCAGTGCCCTCCCATTGCGGCCACCGGACCAGTACTGTATGGCCCATAGCGGTTGGACACGACATGATATGTGCAGGTGCTGAACAACAACGGCCCGTGGTGATTTCATGTGATGTCCATGGTTCTTTCATGTTCTTTCATTCCCACCCCCTCAGGCATCATCAATTGGGGACCTCACATGTAATTGACATGTTTCGTTCCTCCTATGGGACAGGCATGTTGTTCTCATGTTGTTTGACAGTGCCATGTTGGGAGCCCAATGAAGCAACAGGCCCCTTCAGTGACCGAACGACCAACTGAGACCACACGGTGGAGAGCTATTTCACCCGACTCAGCGAACAACTGCTGGACCTGGTCGGGGAACGGCGGAACGTACCGGTTGGGTGGTGAAGCTGGCGGGGGCGGGAAAGAGACCTAGCTGTGGCGAGGGCGATGCGGAGCCCGGGGTGGTTAATATATGTCCATCCATTTGGCCAGGAAGCCGTTCCAAGCTACAGGGGGTTCCCCAAGCCCGACAGCTAGAGACAGCCTTGTCACGGCTTGACTCAAAGGAAACGAAGACCTACAGAGACTCAGACCATCCAAGACCTATTCTGATCCTTGGATGTGATGTTTGGGAGCCTTTTGTTGCGGCTCGTGGCTCGGAAGATCCGGAACAACAAGAGAAGGCTTGCAAGAAGAGATGTGATATATTCAACATATTGTGTGTATGTATCTATCTATATATATATTATTTGTAATACATATACATCTACATCTACATATATATATATAGACAACTGTGTAGATGAATGTGTTCCATTCTTTAGATGTAAGCTCCTCCATGCTCATTTTCAAGTGTGGAACTCGCAAGAGTTCTGACTAGTTTGTGTTTGGTTCCAAACTTGCAATTAAGAAAACAACATCATATCCCAAGATATTACCCATATTCTCCAGAGAAGGTGCACTAGGGTTTGTCCATTTGCTATGACTTACTTTCCTCTTCGTTTGGACACGTCCTCCATGGGTTCATGGGCTCTGGCTTTGACTTCTCCCCCTGCCGGGCAAACTTGCCAGGTGCGCCTGGTACGAGGCGACATCACTAAGCTCCAGAGGTGCCGATGGGTCGGAGGTAGTACCCTCTCCCTAGACCGAGCTGTGACTCAGATGGTTCTTAATGTGCTTGTTTGTGTCTTTTTGCTTTTGTTTTTGGGGCCTTCAGTGTTAGATCATTGTAAGGAAAGACTGAAGACATTGTTTGGGATATTTTTTGGAAGGGATCTTTTCCTTTAGACCTTTCAGCTCAAGTTTGGGCAGCAAAGGTAGCACTGTTCACTTCCTCTTTGCAGACAAGCATTCTGGCTCAAAGATATACCTTGGCACCTGCGACGCTTTCTGCTTTCCATGTCGAAAGGGATGGCAACACCTTTGGCAAAGCTTGGGTCCATGAGGGACCTGTTGAACAGTGGCGTGGAGCCTTGGCCGCGGCCATTCTTTTCGGGATGCATTCCGCCTGGTACCATACCACATCCATGGTGGAGGCGTGAAGTTCCCAGGGCTAGCCGTGATTAGTTGAAGAGGCCAAGGCTGGTGTTGCGATCATAGTTCCTTCGAGGCTTTGCTCATGATGCCTCCAATACGGCTGTCATCATTTCAGTCGCACAAGCCAGCTGATGTCAACTGCTTCGGAGAAGTGTGATGAGCCGATAGTCGGTTCATGTCGATTCCTTCCAATGGTTTTATAAATAAATATATATATATATTATATACACATGTTTTACTTACGTTGTCTTGTTGTGAATTCCTGGATCGGAGCCAACGCATATTCTTGTCCATTTTCGGTTTTGTTGAGACTGACATCTGTCCAAGCAGATCAACCATGTTCTGTTCGGTTCCGTTCGCAACCGCACGCGCTCACGCTCACCGACCCGATGAGGATCAGGATGACCTAGACTTCACCTCTGACCTCTACGCGCTCACCGAAAGTAGCACCGATGAGCTCTTGAACTCTTGGAAGGCGAGAGGGTGGTGGGTTCACTGAAAACCGACCACGGTCAGGGTCGGGGTCGGGTGGAGCTGTGACCCCGGCAGCGCAAGGCAAGTGTTGATGAGTTGAAAAGATGTTGAAATCCATGAAATCCGCAAATGGTTTCATATGGCAGCTGATGGATAAGCAAATGGATAATCCTCATAATAATTCCTATTAAAAAAGCGATGTTATAATGTTTCAGTGGAGAACTGGAGAATGGCAGCTTTTGGAGGCCCAAGGGCCGATGGTGGAGACGTCTCCGTGTTGGAACAGTGAAGCCCAAGTGATGTAGCGAGACAGCCAAAGAAAAGCATGGATGGTTGGCCATGGGCTGAGAAGATGAGGATGTTTGTGCTGTTTTGCGGCTGGTTTGCGGCATGCTCAACTGGGACAAGACCTTCTAGAAGTGTATGAGAGAAGTAGTGAGAGACGTTGACATCTGGAGATTTCGTCAGTTCCCGAACGTTCGGTGAATCGGTGAATTCCTTTCGAATTCCCGTTCCCTCCCGAATTCGTGGAGGAGAACGGCGTGGAACGGTGTGGGAGAAGCTGCCCGGGTCACTCCGCCAGGTCTTTACCGTCCTCAAGGACGACAGTGACCAACACCGACGCTTGGAGAACGCCGCCTGGCGGCTCCATGCCATGCAGCGGCTGCAGAAGACACCCACCTTCGAGGCTGCCTCGAAGGTCACTGGGGGAAAGTGCGCCTTTAAACCAGGAGCTGAAGGGCTGAAGGGCTGAAGCTGTGTAAAACGCCGCGAAAAAGCGAAGAAGTGGGCTGAAAAGTGGACGTGTTGTGCCCAGTTGTGGTGTGATATGGTGTGATACTTTGCATGAAAGAAATGCACATGGAGATCTACTGCATAGATTTGCATAGGGCCTAGGTGAAAAAAGATGCAAACATGCTTAAAGGGACGAGCTGCCACCATGTTCCACTGTGGCTTCTTCACTTCAATGAGGAGCAACATGTGAGGAAATCAAAAGCCTTTTTAATGTTTGTCCTCATTCAGGTTGCCACAATGCACATGTGTTATAAGACACGTGCAGAAAGGAGCTTGGGAGATATGGGTCTCATCAATCGCCTGAAACAGATCACGGTTCATAGAACGAGGCCCAGATCCGGTTCATTGGAGTGGCATGGCCAGTTATCCTCCAAGTGGCATGGCCTGCATAGCTGCTAACCAAGTGCAGCCGGACCAGCTGGCCTGGGAAAACCAGCTGTGATGGTAAAGGATTTGCCACAATCCATCTCCTTCACGGTGACACGTGCTCGTAGAAATCAATATCTAGAATTAATTCTTAAAAGTGCATGCTGTAGCTGAAAAGGCAACACTGCGTCCAACACAGGAGCTCCCATTGCAGAGCAGTTGGATGAAGCAGAATTCTCTCCGAAGCGAACCCTAAGTGGAGCCTTGGGGAAGGTAAACCAGGCGCGGGATATCTTCATGGAGGAGGTCAGAGAATAGAATAGACCAGATTTGGATGATTTTGCCCAACTTAATGGCAGACAGCAGAAGGCCCAGACGATCTCTCAACAGAAGCAGTTGCATCTTCAATAGCAAACAACCAACAGATGCCAACAGGAGCTTTAAGAATCTGACACACCAGTGGGGTGAAGCGCACCAGTGGGGTGAAGGAGTTGTTTTCATACGATCATCCAATACCCACGACCTGTTTGGGACTGTCATATTTACCGATCAGTTGGGGTGGTGCAAGACGGGTCAATGGGGCGGCATATATGGCAGTCCCAATGGAGTGTTGGGGATATACTAGTAGTTCAGTGCACTATATTCTACATTGCATCCGCAGATCCATTGGCCGTCCACTGTGTTTTTTCTTGCGAATGAGGGAATGAATGACCCTTATCCTGCTTTGGAGGCGCGAGCGCCGGTGGAGATGGAGCGCGTGCATTCCGGAGACTTAGCCTTCCAGGAGTGGTGTTATTTGGCTGGAGAATAATTTTTGCTTTGTCATTGCACTCGCTAGACGTCAAGCCCATGTAAGGCCCAGCACCCTCCCAAAAGAAGATGCAATGGCACATGTATGCACATGCCATGCTTTGGAAGGTCACCATGGAATGGAAAGTGGATCACCCCACATTCCCCTCACACACACACACACTGATGTTTTACACCACCAAGTTGACCAACAAAACACCATACACCGTGGTTTGCACTAGTTGCAGGTGCAGGAGACACTTCCTCCACCAATAGCAGGTTCCACATGGTTCCACTAACAGTCACTCGCGCACCACATGTTGGGTTTGTCGCCTAGTCACTCGCAGTGTTTTTTCAGCCGCAGCTGAGCGGTCAAAGCGGCACCCCGGTGGTTTCACGTTGTTTCATTTTCCCTGAGGTTGGCAATATTCATGAGGTATCATTTTCCCGGTGGTTTCAGTTTTTTTGAATATTTTTCTGAGGTTGGCCGGCATATGTTGGTTGACTTCGGGAAACCAACAGAGAACACAAAGTCCAATGTTTTTTCATAGGAGGCATTCCTGCACGTCATTGCATCCAAATTCCACTAATTTCTTTGGAAGAGGATTCTCCAACTACTGAGGTACCTCACACTAAGGGTAGGTATACCTAGAAGATCCTTTTGGCAGAAATTCTTGCCTTTTTCGGGAAGAGCGGCTCTTCCCGTCCTGGGGCGGAAATCCCCTTTTTGCCGGAAAGGCTTTTGCGCATGTTCTCTTTCAGGAATTGTAGTCAGACAAAGACTATCTGACTCAGCCGAACTCGCAGTTCACCGACCGCAATGCTTTGAAAACAGCTCCGGCCCGGAGGATTCCTGGGCAGCGGATCAGCTCTTGGGGGTGTGCTTGAAGAACAACTTGAAGAATGAGACCATCGATGACATCCTACAGGTGCGTGTGCTGGCGGCGCTGCTGGGCGCCATGTTGGCGCCCCCACCAGAAACACGGGCCAGAGAGAGACTGGAGAGAGGCATGGTGGACTCCATTTCACAGGAGAGATGTGGGCCTTTTTTGGGCTGCTACTCTGGGTATTGAACTTTCTACCAGTGAGCTCAGAGCAATCACAACAAATGGAGAGGTTCACTGAGTGCGAGGCAGCTTTATACAGGCCACAACTATTCGACAGGGCCACACACAAAGGGGCGGCTTGAGTCCCCCCAAAGAGGGTTTTGTATGGTTCTGCCTTGTTTGAGGTTTCCCTGAACGCCTTCACCAATTATTGTGAGTAAACCACTTGAAGTGCTGCACCCATTCTGACCAGCCCAATTTGTTCTACGTAGGTGTTCTTTGATCCTGACACCCCAGAAACAGCAAGTGGACACCCCCCCCCGAAACAGCTTGATGACCAGCCCTTTGCTTTGCAGCCCGGACATCATCCACTGCTTTCCCGTGACCTGGTGCAGGTGCTCCAGCACATGAACTTCCAACCGGAAGATGTGCCGAACACGTCCCGTGAGTTGCGAGAACTGCCTCACGAGACGCGCCTGGTGTGTGCCATCTTCACGCACAGCTTGGAGAGGAACGGCGCGACGCTGGGATTTCAAATAGAGCTTCCGGAATGGTGACTGGTGCATGCATTCTTTTCCGGTGCAGACACTCCAGACACTCCATGTATTGGCACATACAGTATATGCCACATCTATTGTTTCATGCCTATATACAGTACATTCACCTCTGAACCCACCCCCGGTGACGGTCGGCAAATATGAGGCTCCCAAACTGGTTCCGGATCTCGCTGGGAGGATCGGATCCGAGGAACGCGTGGAACTCGTGAACCCGTGAAAGGGTCGGTTTTCCCTCCGTTCGTTTGGTTCCAACTCTTGGGGATAGTTCTTCCAACTTCAACATTGGAGTCCTAGAAGTTGTAGACAAACCCTGGGCTGCAATGCCTAGGAACAATTTCTGCCTCTACATCGCGAGATTGTTGAAGAAGAGTCAGCCTTTGACGGTTTTTTCGCCCAAGGCAGTGTGGTGCAAAATCGGAGAGTTTGAAACACATACAGACTAATCAAATTGTCGGAGAAGTAGATGAGTTTCCTGGTGTTCCGTCCCATGAATGTTGGACAGGGCAGACTCAAGGTGTCTCCTTGTTGTGAGACACATCCACACAAAAAGGCATGGACTTGGTTTCAAAGAAATCACTTCTTCAGGGGGTTGCAAAGAACTTTTCCAGCACCAAACCCATGGCAGTGTGGGAGCTATTGGGAGCTGTAGTTTCTTTTGCCTGTAATTCTTGAGTAACTGTATCATTCACTAAGATTCACTAAGTAATTGCTTGGTCACCAGCTTCTTGGACCAAACATCGACGGCTTTTAGGGCTTGGATCACTTTCTGCGGCTAGGGGGGAGATCAGTGAGGCGACCAACCTTGAGGACGCCTTGCCCTGGCCCGCCCGGAAACAAAGCATGAAGGGGACTCAAGAATGTCTAGGCAAGAAAACACCTTATGTGCATGATTCCCATGGTTAAGATTGAACACTCTGTGAAACCTGTATACAAAATCCGTTGATTGATATCAAGTGCTCCCTCATAGACAGCCCCAGTTCTATCCTGCCCCAAACCTTCCCCACCTTCTTCCACCCCCAATAACCTCTTTGGACAGGCCGGGGTTCACTTGTGAAGTCTGATTGGATGGCTTGTGAAGCGCAATTTCAAGATCGCTTGTGCGTGGGGGTTCATATGAGTGTTAATCATCGAAATGAACGTTCTTGACCCCCACCCCACCCCACATCCGCCCCCTGCCGCAACCAACCCCACTCAGGAACCCAGGGCCCCCAGTAATTCGCCCAAATTTCAGCAAGCAAGCGAGTCCAGTCACTCATCCTGCTCCACCAGGCCGGGCCCATGAAGGAAGACTTCGAAAAGTTGGGTTTGGAGGTGACCATCGTCGTGCCGTGGCGTCGATTCGACCGGCCGAGATGGGCCGAGAATTTGGGCCAAGGCAAGTTATGGGATTTGGGGGGCGGGTTCGAACCAATCTCGCGCCGAATGAAGAATGTCCTTTTTTTTCCTGTTGGGGCGGCAAATCCATGGATTCCATAGATCTTGGAGCAGGCTGAGCTTTCAGTCAAAGGTGATTGACTTGATGGTGCTTTTGAATTGGAAAGACCGTCCGTACCGTCCGAAGATGTGGCGTCCGCCACCGCCGCGCTGTAAGGACACGACCGCGCCGAGCTTTCTGAAAGATCTCAGCGGGGCCTTGCGGGAGCGAAAGGCCGGAGACGTTCGACAGAGATCCGGAAAGTATACAGTGAGCTGCTAGGAGATAGAATACTTTTTTTTTAAGTTAAATGCACTTAGAATGTTTTTTTGAACCCTTAGACTATTTAATGCACAGAGTATATAGGTTGAGTCCGGCCACCCCCCCTGTAACTCTGTTACAGCGCCGCGGCCATACACAATAGGTCACCTGGCAAAAACTTGCCATTGGGGGGTGCCATTGGGGAGAATCACGTTAAACAACAAGTGGAATGGCTTCTAACTCACCCAATCCAAACATCAACACGACACCTGCGGGCATTTGCCAAACCTGACCAGACCGGTGAGTCAGGTGGGCCTGGTGTTGGCCAACACGATCATGCGATGCGACATCATTTTGATGGCCGCGGAGCTTCAGATGCCCAGTGTTTGGGTGATCCATGAGCCACTTGCTTGGTGAGTGTGTTGGGCGGGAGTGCTACGAGGGAGGTTGTGGTTGTTTGATGTTGTTTCTTGAGATGCACAAGAGAGAGAGAGAGAGAAAGAAAGAAAGAAAGAAAGAACAAATAAGTATATAAATAAATAGATAAAAGAACAGAAAAGACAAGAAAAGAAAAGAAACACACATAAAGAAGATAAAATACATAAAGACAAACCCTGACGATCCATGACCACACATAGGTCACAAATAGAAATGATCTCAGGATATGCATACGTTTCTATTGATCGTGTTATTTGAAGACGTTGTCGAATCACAGATTGGGTACCTGAAATGTATATACAATTCCAGTATCATTGTCGGAGGATAAGACCATGAAATCCCAAGAACCAAGCATACCAGGGCGTGACGAACCGTGACAGACCGTGATTGGTCTATTTTGTCCCTTTAAAAATGAGGTCATTGTCGGACTCCAGCGTGACAACCCGTGACGAATTTGAATTTGGGATCGTTGGTTTTGTGGTTTTTGGGTTCTGTGGTTTTGTGGTTTTTGGGTCTGGTATGATATCGTTTTTTGAGGTCGGACCTCACAGGGTGAGGTCGGAGAGCCCCAGAAGACACAACCCCAAATGTTAGCATATAGAGCTAACTTTCGATCCTCAGGGAAAGTAAAGACAGAAAGAAAGAAAAAGATAGAGAGAGATGCCGCAACTCGGAGCTGGTCCAACATGTTCGCCGTAATGTCCTGTCGGTTTGGCCCAAGCCTACTTTGAGGTTCAGAGTATGTTTCAAGCCTTGGTAGCTAGGGCAAGCTTCTGGTCACAATATAGTCATCGCCAAGCAACTATAGAATATGTTGTCCCATGTGTGTCCTTTTTGATATCCCAAACTCTTCTAGAATTGTGTTTCGTAAGGTTTGCTGACCCCAGAAGGTCACGGAGCTTCAACAGTGTCCGGAACATGTTTGGTGCAATTCAACAGCTACCCACACACACAAACCATGGTGATGGAACAATTGGATAATAGATCTTGTAAAGCGAACCACGAGGCATGAAGGTTGCTATGTTGGAGAGGTATGTTCACATTGTTCACCGAGTTGTTCACCTGGAGACCTCAGCATGAGCATGGATTCATGGGATCCGACCCATGGTGATTAGTCTTCCGATTAGCTGATGAACCTGACGTTTGACAAAGAGGAGATGTTGGGTTTACTCAAGAAACAATCCATCAATTGGGCCCACCCAGCCTGAGCAACTAGGTAAATGAAGTTACATCCGGGAAGATGAACATGGAACCTGAAAATGGACCTTTGGAAGACTAAACTTTGGCCAGCTTCCTCCATCTTCCAGAGCATAAATAAGTGCACATTGTCACATAAGTATATACACAAGCGCACTTGGGCCTCTGAATCTCCATCTTCCCCATGCCCTGCAGCTGTCCGAATGGTTTGTCCCAGTCCCGCTTTCGACCGCCAATCGGCGCGCTTCGATGCACCGAAAGCGAGCTGGCCTCAGGTCCTGGCCCCAGGACCAGCTGGATCACTATGCCAAGGAGGCCGGGATTCGGAAAAAACGGGCCAAGATGAACAGCAAAGAACGTCAATGACCACATTTCCACACAGGTCCAGGCCATGCCCCCACATATTGGGTGACTCCCCGCGAAAGTCATATCACCATCCGAGCTCCAGCCCTCTCTCATCCGGGCTAAAATGCGGTCGATTTGGAGGGCTCCCAGTTGTTCCGTGCTTGGGCTCCCAGTTGGGGTGGCGTGGGCGAATAGACCCCCCAGGTCTTCATGTGCAAAGACATCGATGCAGCAGTGATCAAGAAGCTTGGCCGGGGCTGGGTGGGTGGTCCAGGAAGCGGCCTCGCGGACCGGACGGTGGGTCCTCCAATCATCGGCATCGGCGTGTTGAAAGACTCGAAAGTGAGGCTTGGAATCTGAAATCCTCTTGGCACTAGTGTTCACCTGATTTCACCTGTTTGTTGTCCCTGTCCAAGACATGTGTAGGACCTCTGCAGCCAGCACATCCAAGCATGAGGGTGAAAGCCCGTGTTCAATGGCAAGGACATGCAAGAACTCAAATTCATACACAGCGCACTAATGCGCACAAGAAATCCTCTTTACAACAATGTTTAAGATGAACAAGATTGGAGATTTGGGAGGAACATGTTTGAATTCACATGGCACAGAGCGAGCTGGGTAGCAGTTGGAGACCACCCACTAGGCCCATTGGATACGTAAATCGGACCGGTCCACACACTCTGTATTGTTTGACGAAGTCTTCAAAGGCGTCACAGTGTCCGATATTTAGGATGTAAGAACTAGGACTCATCATGATTCATCCCCGCCCCTTTGGGCTCCAAGTAGCTAAGCTTCTGAGAAGGTGCTGGGAGGGATCTATACTACTTGCAAATGAGATGAGAGTAGTGAAACGCACCCACAGGTTGAGGTTGGCACATCTCATGTGCCCAAAACATTGAAAAAACGTGTCCGTAAATTTTCCTATCTCATGTGGTCTGGGGCCACTTAAGAGCCCAACATATGTCTAAATCTGTCTACATTGGAGCGTTCACTCGGATTTTTACACTAAGCTCGCTGGAGGTTGGCTGACCACATGAGATAGGATCTGCAAGAGTTTGTCTGCAGCCACGGTCAGCTTGCAAGCAGCATTCATGCTTTGCATTATGTGGAGTTACATGTGAGATGCTGATATACGATGATGATGGTATGAAAAATATTCTATAATATATATATATATTATTTTTAATTTATTCCTATGCACATATAACAGGTATACCAGGTACATTGCATGCTCTGCGGCCTACAATGTCGGCCGATCTCAATTCCAAAGACCACAGTGATGCACAAGCATTGGCTGGGCTCCCAGATGGGGCAGGAACTTCTGGATTACACTTGGTGTGAAATTGATCTTTGCGCAGCGACCATTGTGTGCAAAGTCCTATCTCATGGTACTAGGCAGCTTCAATGACGTCTACAGCCGGCGTGCCCTCCGACATGCAGGTGCAATTGCATGTCACAGCCATGTTCTCCTGTAGATGTGATTTAGAGAAGTCTGATGGCACTTAACCTAGGTGATTTTCCAAGGTATGGTAAGTTAGTAAGTCCTATCTCATATGGGCAGCTTCTCAGGTGGATGCAGCAGCTCAGGAGGCACATCAGGATGACAGCAAGGCCAGGATGCTTCACGCCTATATACCTGAATAAATGTTTATGTATATATATATATATATGTATGTGCGCCCTCTATTTGTTGGGCGTGCTCCCTTGCGATGTGTTTGTTCATGTGTGTGCAGGGGTTGGACCCAGATGAAGCCTTCGGATTGAGACTTTGGTGCAAGATCAATGATGAGTGGGAGGAGCCTGAGTTTGGTGTGCTGGGTGTTTATATGTATATAATATACATGTTTTTAACTGGTGGGCCTGTGTAATTTCATTTTTGGAGGATGCTTGCAGCGAAAGCGCTTCCGAGGCACAACTTCTCAAACATTCATTCATAACCAAAGGCCGTTCGAAACACTCATGTATAAGTTTATAGTATATAGAGAAAAGTCTGGGGAAGCAGTAGAGGAGAGGTTTAAGAGATATTCAGTTCATCAGCAAACAGAATCAATTCATTGAAAATCACACCCATTCAATCGTAATACAATAAACGCGCAAAGGCCTAGCTCATGGTACTAGGCAGCTCCAGTGACGTCTACAGCCGGCGTGCCCTCCGACATGCAGGTGCAATATCATGTCACAGCCACGTTCTCCTGTAGATGTGATTTATATAGAGAAGTCTGATGGCACCTAACTTGGGTGATTTTCCAAGGTATGGTAAGCTGTTAAGTCCTATCTCATATGGGCAGCTTCTCAGGTGGATGCAGCAGCTCAGGAGGCACGGCTTCCAAATGCCAGTATCTCAGAGATGGGCCATGGGGACAGGCTGATGGACAGGTCGATTGATCAATCACTGCGTGGGTCAGTGTACTAGCTTAGGATTGTTTTTGTTTCAACTTGACCAGCACGGGCTCAAGTCCTATCTCATGTGGCATGTGGCGAGGCAGCTGCGCTCACATCTACAGCCAGGGCACCCTCTGACGCGCAGGTGCAATGACATATCACGGTCATGTAACGAGGAGATTGAGGAGCGCGGTAGATTAGGAGGTTGTGTGGTTTGTTTTGAGAGGGTTCCGGTAAATCTTGTATAGGGGAATTCTGTCAGGTGAATGCTGCAAATGTCAGTATCTCGGAGTTTGCCATCCACTACCGGCCACCATGGGGACTTGTCGCTGAGGCTGATGGACAGGTCGCTTGCAGGGTTTCCTTCTCAGCTTGCACAAGCGTCTGGCAAACCAGTTTAGGGACTACGTATATACTATTGGCTTTTGGATTCTGACTCAGGTTAAAAATGGTAAGCGGCGACGCCTGCCTTGGGTTCAGCAGGAGATTCACGAGTGTCGCACGCAAAGCCTCTTATTATCTCTGTGCCTGTCTCTCTCCCTCTCTCTCAACATATTTACACATGCACACATGTTGCATGTGAATATGCAGGCTTCTGCCCGAGCTGCTGAGGGGTCAGCAGATGCAAGGGGCTAAGCAAGATTTTGCAAGTAAGGGGCAAGTTTTTCACTTCTATAAATTCACCGCTCCCACCGTGCAAGGTGGCAGGCGCTGCCCTGACAATTTCACCTCCTGAGGTGTGCATCAGAGTGGCTGAGTCTCATCTCATCATGACAAACCATTGGATCTGGTGCCAGTGTGAATATAGTAATGTCGACATAGGATTAATCAACCCCCCCTTCAAGGTCAACAAGGTCAACAAGGTCTTAACGGAGGTTGGTTAATCCCATGTGCGCATTAGGCCAAGCTTGGATTTCTCAAGTATAGTTGTTCGCTGAATATTGCCCAGCGCAGCAGGAAACAATGGATGTCCCTGAGGCCAGCGTGTAAGGTCTTAACTCACGAGTTAGCGGCTGAGGGACTCTACCTGTTCACAGAAAAATGCTCACTAGTTTCATAGGGTTCAGCAGTTCTTGACAGTAAGCACTCAAGTGTTGCATGACTTGATGTTTTTCTTGCAGCGTGCTTCACAGGACAAAAAAGAAAAAGGCCTGGCGGCCAGTCCGGATCCAAAGGCAGGCATTCCGGAGTGTGAAGTCCTACAAATGCATGAGTGGCGGGCAAACAACTGGGAGCTTTTCCATGAGTTCTTTTGTTTTCCTTTTCAGCGGGCAGCTCAGGCATCCCATGATGAGGGGTCCAAACTCATGCGTCGGCGAGGGTCAAATCAAAACGCAAAAATGTAGGCTTCACCAACTCTCTTTATAGCAATCCTCCTTTGCAACTTCGTTTTGACTATATGTACATAGTATTATGTGTAGAGTTTTCAAGTTGTGCAGCATACCAGGAGAAAGCCGATGAGTCAAAGGCGACTTCTCCCACACAGGTGTGCATCCCAGTCTGGAAAGTTTCCACTCATGAAGCGTGGAGGTTTTCTATGGTTTTCTTGATGGATTGCGCCGCCCAAAAAATAGAGCTTTAGCTGCAGCCGGTTAGCTCCCGTTTCCTAGGGTGTTATTCCTCGTAGCTATGTCTGCTGCTGCAGCTGCTGCTTCTGAAACTCATCATGCAGCTGCTGATGGTTCTTCGAATGAAGACTCTATGTCTGCTGCTGCAAGTGATACTTCTGAAACTGACCATGCAGCTGCTGATGGCGCTTCGAGTGAAGAGTCTGAGTGGGAGATTTTATCGGATTCCCTGAACAGGAAGCGTCGAGTTACTGAGGAAATGGCATTGAAGGAATACAGGAAGAGATCAACGCGACCCCGGAAGCTGTCAGTTGTGGATTTGCCGATAGATTTATGGAAGGCCGCTTCTGACAACCTCTCGAAACAGTTTATGGATGAGCTCAACAATGCACATCGCCAGTATGTGACGTATGTGAGACTTTGCAATTCCAGGGGAAGGAAACCAATCCCTCTCAGTGCCCATTGCTTCCAGACGATGCACCAAACGGGATGGGTCGCTCGCAAAGGCCTATTCACGCTGCTCCAAGGAACTATGCCCCAAAGCAGTGCCCAAAGCTGAACCATACCTCCATCATGATCCATATGCTTCCTGGGTTGGGCAAGCGCTGGGCCCCGGCTATATGCAAATGAGAATGCATCTTCACCAATTCAATCGTACCGCTGTTTGTCCGCGGAATGGGAAAAAGATGGTAAAATAACCGCACACGTGCGCAAGTCATCAAAGCAGAACCACGGTAGATAGCTCACCATCCTCTCAGTAAACACTTCAGTGCTCCTTTTCTTTCCAGCACACAGTACAGGAAAAAGAAGCAGAAGACCCGACTCTGCTTCCACAGGCAGGCTGTACGTGGACTCACCATACCTTGACAGCAAACACTCAGTTCCCCATGAGTGTTCTGTTTTCTTGCTCGTGCAGTTCAGGATGAGAAAGCGGAAGGCCCGATGGCCACTCTGGCCCCAGAGGCAGGCATCCCAGAGCGCGCAATCCTAACTCATGAGTCATGGGAAGAAAAATAGACAGGCTATAGCAAATTATTTCAGTTTTTCATCGGTGCCATCTTTGTGCAGCGTGTAACACAGGATGAGAAAGTGGAAGGCCCTCTGGCCACTCCGGCCCCAGAGGCAG